TACCAACTTTTATCCATTTTCTCGGTTCTAAATCTCCATGAGCACATTTTGGAAAGAGTGGGTCTGGGTGATTATGTTTATTAGCGATGTGCCCCATCAATGACTTCCACTTGGCTAAGATTAAACTTGGAAAGTTTCCCACCGTTGTCGTAGAGCACCAATAGATATGGTTTCTTACTCCTTTTGTCCACTCTTTAATCGTTTCACATCCCTTTTCCTTGCTAGCTTTAAGCATCTTTTTCACAATGCCTTTGATGACATGCCACTGGTCAAAGAAATGTTTTATTGCAGGATGTGAATCGCGTATATATTTGCAAATTCCTTTGTGGCGATCGGATACAAACACAGGAATTGTCAAACCAGCAGTTGTGATCAAGAAGTCAAAGCATTTCTTACAACCATCCAGCTCCATGGCGTTGCTGCTTCCAGATTGGTTTGCCTATAATAATGAATACAATATTTATTATGAGTTGCAATATTAGTCTAATAGAGCGATTGTCACACTTTTAATTTGAATTAGAGATTGTATCTCTAATTCCAGGGCTAAAATAACTATGTGGTAACAGTGGTTTCCTCCTGCATAGTATGGTTTTTGACAAGTGGTGTAATGAACTAGTGAAACTAAACAAAACAACTAAGACTACAAAGCATGTAAAGTATTTCACAAATAATTACTTGCAACAAGTCGAAATGCACTATCTTCATGATGGTACAGCAAAACATTGTGTAAACACCATATTTTGCTGAGTGGCCCATTGAATCGAAACGACCATCTCCGCTCCATACAGCATTTTGAACATTTTGCAGCGACTGGATTAAGGATGCCTGGTATGATTCCCAGTAAATCAGGATAGATGGGATGATCATTTCACTCTGATGACGGTAGTAGGTTCTCGGACTATATACTACCAGGCCAAAGTGACGAAATACCAAGAGGACCTTACTGATGGATGCCCCAGCCATGAGTGAAGAGAAGCTTAACAAAATATTCCCTGCTGCACGTCCAAGTAGACTAGGTTGGCTTCGCCATTTGAATGGTTTAACTCCTTGACATGAAGAGCATTGTTGTTCTACAGTTACCATAGTGCCAGTTTGGTACATGTTGACCTTGGGTTTTTCTCCTTTGCATTTAAAACAAAAAACAGAGAACAGAGCAAGAAGAGAACTATAAAATACTATAAACTTTGGTTCATCTTGAGGCTTGGTTCCAGCTTCCACTCTTAAAAAAAATACAAGTAAGTAATTTATTAATTAACCTAAATCCACTGTACATTTTTTACCAATAAAAACTACTGTACTGTACTTTAATTTTCTTGTACACAAATGGATCAGGATGAAATCAACAAGTTGCCAGCTATTTATATATTTTGTGATATTTCATTAGAGCTTTTGTAAAGACATAAAGATTTAATTATTATGTATAGTTGTACCTGACAGTATTTCTGCTGCACTGATTTGATGGAATTCCAGCATTATTAATTTGTTCCTCCTCCTCTCCAAAAGGGTCCCAACTGGTTCCAGTGTAGCACCATCATAATCAGCTGATTCCTCAATGGTCTCATCAACAGCATTCATATCTTCGTCTTGTTCAACATGTTGCTGTAGGTCTTGAGCTTGATTCTCAAGTTTCTTAAAATCAGATACAAGTTAGTTGTTTGTTTACATTTGCACCCATAACAACATTTGCTTACTTAAGGGTATCTCGGGCACCAGTGACACCCTACTCCCCTTGTCAACATGAATCTCCAGATTTCTGGACAAAAATTGTGTACCAATTCTCAGGGTTACCCTCTAGTAACAGGCTGACTCTATATACTCCTGACATGTCCCTAGCTAGTAGCCTATGAGAGTTTGATGCAGTAGATCATATAAACAGCCCCTATTAGGTCAAAGACATTGAGCAAAAACAGGAAGTTGCATGTGTATAATATACTATGTACCTATAGGTATAAAGTGACTACAATATTTTCAAATTTCATGACAGATTATATACCGAATAATTATAAAGTGTTAAATGGTATATTTGGTTGCCACTTGAGCAGAAAGAATGCTGAAGCCTGAGCATAAAATATGTAAAGTAAACATATACATCTGTCATATTAAATATAGTGTAAATTCTTTATCAAAACATACTATTTACCTCCGTCAAGGCTCGTTAGCTTTTTCCAGTTGAACTACCTTACTTTTTAGCTTTTGTTGCACACCTTTGGCTTTTCTGTATTTGTCATTCAATCTGATATATCGTTGTTTATGTTTGTTACACTCTTCGCATGCTGAACGAGAAATTTCACAGGTATGTGTATCGGCTTCCATGCTCGTTTCAAGTTGTACTCCTGAAATATCTCCTTCGCATGCTTGCATGCTCACTTTGTTGTTGTGCAGATATGAAGCTGGCATCACGAAGAGTCTGTGGTTAGAGTAAAAATTTCAATAAAATTTCTTAAAACTAATCTGATAATAAATTTACATATGAAATTATGTAATATAATACCGCACCTGTCTGCGCTCCTGTTGTGAAACTGGATGCGGGGTTCTGTCCGGTTCGACGGTGTCAATGGTTGGAATCGCACAACTTCTGTATAATAGTCGTTTTGTTGTGATATTGCTGCTGACTTCCAATCCAAGACCAAGTCGCTGATGAAAGCATTGTGGTTCAAAATGTGAAGAACACAAGCACGAGTAAGGCGAAGGCTGCCAGTGTGCCATTCTATGTCGCCTGACAAACTTTATCCATAGATTTCGCAGTTGATTACCAGGTTTTGGAAATTCATGCATTGATATCCCGGGAGTGGTCGAGTTGTTCTTGCAACTTTCATTATTTGGGCCACCAGCAACGCAATACTTTCCAAGATTTTTTGTAGTTTTCGTTGCATGTTTTGGTTCCGCCATATTAAAACTACAGCAGTTTTGCATCTTCGCGCGTTAACTCTAACGTGTGACGTCACGACCGCGCACAGAGCTTGGAAATATTTAAGCTAAAGTTGTAAACTTTATCTTGAAAAAAATTGGAATTCTCGCATTGTGATTAAAAAATAAATATTACCACGATAATCAGCGCATCAAAAAGTATCAGAAAAGTAAAAAAAATCATACACCAAAATTTCATGTCATAGGCACTTTAATATACAAAAGAAAAGGTAATTAATAAAACTACACTGAAATTATATGCTGTCTTTTTTCACTTATATACGCAATGATAGGTTTTATAGTTCGATATTTGCAGTTTCGCCCACCACTATCAGTTGTAAATATATCAATTATAAAACAAACAATACATCAATATTTAAAACAAACTTACCTTCATTAACGTCGGCGACTTTGCTCTATTCTTTTAGACGTTTTTAGACGTTTTTGGCTCTCAGAAAGGTTTTGAAATTTACAAAATCTTGCTAAAATACAACTTGCAAGAAATGTTTGTTATTTCGCTCATTCGCTGTCGTCAATGCAGTCGTTATAATGCAAATTTCAAATTTGACCAATCAGCGTTCACTATTCACGACAGTCCGCTACATATTTTGAGATCAGTGAGGATGACCACCCATGAACGGTGAGCCATGCGCCCACGATATTTGATGAACTTTAGACTTCGCTAGTGCGTTCCTTTCCCCGGGTGTAAATAGCCGCGCGGAATTAGTACCCTCGCACAGCGCTTTGCGCCGCCGGCTCGGGGATAAAAAGCAACACCCCCTGCATTTGAAAGACTAGGTTGTGAAATAAAACTGTATCCTTGTATGTTAATATTTGTCAGAGGTTCCTTATCAACTTTAAATTTAATTTCTGAAAGTCCAATCAGAGAAAATGGAAAATTTAATTAAGAAAACATGTGTAGTAAATTGTCATAATTGGCAGTCAAACTTATTATATTACAGTTTAAAGCTGAAAATGATTTAGTATCTAGTGCACACTGAGTAATATCATGGTTACTATGAAAATCATCAATACTATAGTAATTGAAATTATTATCAAATGGCATATTCAAATCAATATCTCAATTTGTAAGATGAGGAATATTTGAAATTGGGGAAGTTATATTAAGAAATGGGAAATTACCAAGCTGTGTTACCCGGTCGACAGTGACATTCAAATTGTTACTTATAAACATTTCAAGGTATTAGTGATACTCAGATAATTTTAATAAGACATTAATTATAAGATTATTTTCCCTTAACAATAAAAGGGCGAATATATGGTGGAGACTATATCTAAAGTGTATATCAAACATTAATCAAATTTAAAATAATAAACTTATCTTGACACTGTTGTTAAGAGTTTAGTAATATCTTCTTTATTCCTAATGATAGTGGCAGGACTGGCTTGGTCTTTCCTCAGATAAATTCTTCCATTTGATGACCAAATAAATGAATATTGAAGATCCCTTTTCACTTTCATACACTCTCCGAATAATGCTTTATTTTTTTCTGTAAGACTCTCGTTGATGTAGATTTTATTGTGCAAAGAAAACCCAAGGTTTCTAGTTGTAATATCTTTTAATACTTTTTGTGCCCTGTAGTAACATTCTTTGGTATTACGACGAACGAACTTCACGATGATAGTTGACTCGGTACGCTTCCCTTTATACTTATTGCTGATCGGTAAGCGATGACTCACTGAAATATCCTTTTCTTTAATAGATAAACCCATTAACTCGCCAACCTTTGTTACCAACTCATCAGTATTTTCATCTTTTGTAACCAGTATGCCTTTAATCTCAAGGTACTCCACGGGATGAAAATATACATTTGCATTGGTGCAAATGTATCTGCAAATATGATGCAAATTTCATATTTGATCATCTTTGCCATATTTGCACCCTTGCAAATTTATAAATTCGCACCGTATTTGCAAGGGGTGCGATGGTGCAAATGCTGCGATGGTGCAAATGCCGCGATGACAGGTATCTTTGCAGCCACTGCAAATATGATGCGTATTTGTAAGTTGGCATGTAGTGCCAATTTATCGTGAATTTGATGCAGATTTCAAATTTGCAATTGAATTCGCCGCAGATGCAAATGTATTGTTTTTTTCAATATTTGCTGCAATGCGAATTTGAAGCATATTCATGGCAAAATGTTTTATAAAGATCCGTGTCCACTTGATCCATGATTTGGGATTAGGGTTGTTTCCAAAACTGGCTTACCAGAATTCGGGCCTCCTTTTGCGAAAATTTCCTGCGCAACTTTTACGTCAAGGCAAGATGAAAAAAAGCAATACCAAAAATTTTTCTCATCTCAAACTCACTTCACGATTCAAACTCATAAGACCAAAGTTTATAAACCATTCAGGTTTTGTTTAATAACGTAACAATTACAAAATATATATCATATATAACACACCCTGACCCAAATACAGATATATCCGGCAATACCTATGTAATTAAATCAAAAGTCGGCCTACTTAATTAAAATAACTTTGCCGATTGTCAGCGCTAGTATAGAAAGAACATCGCGAAAGGTTGTAAAATGAGGAATATATAGCCTTGCAAAGCCGGTTTGTGCAATTTTTTCTCTATATATAGGCTTGAAATGCCTATACCATATTTAGGCCTTATACAAAAGCATACAAAATTAGCGAACTTTGCAAGGTAAATTTTTCAGCATCATTTACAGCATTTTGGAACCAAATTTTGCAATTTTAATAATTTTAGTATGTTCTTTCTGGGAATATACCTTTTTTGCACAAATCTAAAATTACTGTCTATATTGCAAATTGTCAATTGACTGATTCACAATCAATTAGCATTTAACTGAACATGGACAAAAGATTCACTCCAAATCTACGACGCGGACATGACGAAAAACTAGTACTGCCGCTATTCTCCCAGTTTCACTTCACGCGGCCTGGTAAAAATTATGCATTGTTGTTGGTATAAAGAACGTCAGAGACACGAGAAAAACAAAGTAAAATACTGATTTCTAATTATTAGGGACTGTTACTTAGTTGTGTCCGCGTCATGCATTTGGTGCATCTTATATAAATTCGTTAACATAGATCAAACGAGACGCAAGTCGTCGCAAGCTAAAACTCTTGAAGCATGGAAAGAAGCATAAGATACTTCAACAAAGCGTCACGCGGAAAGTGAAATACATGCGCATGCACTCATACTTAATGTCAGAATATACTGATAAGCTAAGATTTCCCGCTCTTTTCTGCACTTCAAAATTTAAAGTTAGGGCTTGCGATCGATAATTTACGTTGGTTTGATACACCCTAGCAGCAGTATAAAGAGTAGAACAAGCTTAAAAGTTTCGTTCTTGGCCTTCAATTCACTATCGATCATGAATTTATACGAGCTGAGGTGGGCGCTATTTTAAAATATGCCGTATGATAAAGAGAACCAAATTAATGAAACAAAGGTGAAAAGCAATAAAACCAATGCCAAATAACGTTTCTTCTGCTAATGAAGAGCCGTTAATGTTCTCCAATCTCCATCCAATCCGGGATGTTCTCTGGAGCCTCGACTGTTATAGTTTCTCCAAAAATCCGCTCCTTCATCATTGATCTGGATTTTTCTGTCACCTTTCTGAGGTGCTTTCTGTCCAGAGAATCCAAAATTTTTGAGAATCTATCACTCCTCCAGGATAATCTTTTTACTTTTATTATTTTCTTTGCCACTTGGCCAGCTTCTTCGGAATCCGAAGAAGAGGCATTGCCTTGGGTGGCCGGCCGTTCATCGTCTTCACTGTGCTCTGGCGACATTGAAGCTAACGACATGCCGCAATGAATTTCTTCTTTCTCTTCCTCTGGCCATGATGTTGACTTATTTAGAATGTCTAAGCGACGTCTAAGTTTCTGTATATATAACAAAGGAAAACAAAAGGAAAATTACGATGAATGCCGAATATCCTACAAACTGTATCTGCCTATATGTCCTCACACTTGTTATTGTTAAAGTGCATTTCGAATCGAAGTATGTATTGTAGCCTGAAATGAGGTAGGTAACCATTTAAGTATAGGGCTTAACTCGAAGTAAGAAACACAATTTGGAAAGTTCGATTTAAGCCCCATGAAAAAGAGAGGCTTAACTCAAAGTCATCGAAAATATTCGACCCTCGAGTTAAGCCCCGACATTTGAGGCATGCAAAATAGCAATGATTTGAGTCATCCACAATCTAGCTGAAATAGTTATCATACATTCGTACGTCTCGGCTTAAATAAGCTGCAGCCAAAATGAGTCACGAACAACTCATATAAGCAGTCAATTTTCATTAAATAATAGCTTACAGCAATTTGCATTCAAGCACATTCTGAGCTTACAGAAATTTGCATTCAAGCACAAACCGCAAACATTTTCGCGCATTTGTTTACGTTTGAAACGAGGCGTTTACTACCCTGGTTCCAGAGGTTTATTTTTATTATTTTCATTGCGAAGGGCTCTGGAACCAGGGTAGGCGTTTACCGTTGGAAATGTTTCACTGCTCATGCGACGTGTTACTGTTCAAAGTCTAATTCAGTTATTTTTCATGTTTTGATGTGCTTTTGTGTACGTTTCAGTATTTCCATATATTGTAAGAGCAGGGACGCCGAAATGATAATAAGCCAAAGGGGGGCAGATGCACACCAAGGGCACCTCTATAGAGCAAAAGTTCAAAACTCTACCGGAAAAAAAAAATTAAGAATTTTTTTGGGCGACAAACCCCCCCCCCCCCCCCC